GACTTAGTGATCGCACTATTGTAAGATGCATGTCATCGGCGGAATAAAATAGTTCCTATATATTGGAATGTCATATTGAAGCATTCGTTGTGTAATTCGTTCTCTTAATGTGGACTGGGATTCGCATTGGCATCAACCTTAGTCAATTTGACCACTAAAATCCAACCCTTTCAAGCAGGTGAGTACTGGGTGTTGCTCACCCGAAGGCACTGCACTCCAAGACGCGTTTTAACTTTATTTGGTCTCATCAGGTGGAGATAGCAGGCCTCGAACCCGAGACCATCGGGATGTTAGTTGGAACCTCTATTCCATTAGTCACTGAGTCAAAAAGGATAACGCTTGTCACAACAGATATTGAGTGACCGGAGGTTCATTTTCCAATACTCGTTGTGTGAATGAATTGTAACGTGCAATTCAATGTGCACGGCGATTCGCATTAAAGTGCACGTTGGTCAACTTGGCGACTGGAACGGCTGACATCGCAAAGTGCCTAGTTCGATTGGTAGCCCAGTTAATGCTCTAAGGAGTAAGAAACCGGTTTTGGATGTAGTGTTTCAAATGGTCCACGTTTAACAATAACCTATTCCACAGCTTCTACTTGGTTAATTAAATAAGTCGCTCCCGTCTCTCAAAGATAAAATAAGTCCGCAAGTTTTAAATGGCATCATGAGGAATGTTCCAGTTGGATAATATCTTCAGTACAAAAACAAATCATCCAAACGATGCATCCGAAGCTAAGCCACAAAATACCACTGAGTACTTCCTCTAATGGAAAGGCCTAAGTGTATTGCTCCTCCGAGACTTGAGCAGCGCCAGCCAGTTCAAGTAGTACATAAGACAGTGGTGTAGCTTGGGCAATTGCCAAATATACCGACACACTTTCTACCTGGATTATCTACGTTTTAACTATCGACTATTGAGAGGTGTAATGCACTGGGAAGAAAAATATTGACGTGGAGCAGGAAATGAAGTCGTTGACTACTAAAGTTGGTGTTGATGGACCTCTTTTTCTACCAAATTTGGATTCACAAGCCGAATATTGTGATTGAACTTAGACATACCAGAACAAGGTACAAAGTCAGTACTAGTGGAGCCAACATTTTTATTTCTTAGTTGTATTATCATTCTTAACTCTGTCCAGTGCAGAGTTATTTGTGAGGAAACAAAAAGTAAGGCGCGGAATTTGAAAAGTGAGAAGAAGGATTTTGTTTGGTGTCATCTTGTTTTTCCGCACCATTCAAAAGAAATTTTTCTAACGTTTGCTTAAGCTTTGTATTTACTAAGCTAAGTTCCCTCGTGTTTTTGAGATCTAGTGTTAAGTTCCATAGTTTTTAGTAGGTAGAGTGTCGGTAGTTTTAACGCACTAAGACTATATTAATGCTTGATTACAACCTGGCGGAATACTGTCGAGGCAACTAAACCCATGCTGCAACGGACATTTGAACTCGCGACACATGGTATACAGTCCAGGTGGCCGAACCGCTTCATCAGGGATGGTAGGCACTAAAAATTTATGGAGATGCACAACTTAAAACTGGTGCTTCTGTGTGTGTTCAAGCACCTCCTATCAAAACACCTGAGAATGGACACCCCGGGTACCCCGCCTGGAAAGAGCTGATAATGTGGAGGCTGATACTTCGCCCAAGTTTCACTCAAGGACCAGAGTAAGAAGAGTATTTTATTGAATGAGCTGTTGTTCAGCTGTAGTCACTAGGTGACCGTTTGGCGCTGTGGCTAACAGCTGAATCTTTGTTGATTTGGCTTGCGTGAGGCGTATCAACTGTCAACATTTTTTGCATTGACCGGTTTGATCCCTAAAGTTAAGGCATGACGTGTCACAACCCACCCTAGACATTTGATGACGACATATGAGCCGTTTGTCAGCAAAAGATGCACCCACAGACAAAGAAAGGATTCGACTCACAACATTTTAAAATCGGCACATCTAAATGTTTTGCTGAGTAAAAAGTTAGTGGGAACAAAATTAGTAATGTTAACTAAGGTCGACTTGTTTGTCATTATGACTTCGCAATATAATGGGCGCGAACTTATCGGCTGCAAGCGAGCACAAAATTATAGCTTTGGTATAATGACTTCAGCTTCTGAGGATAACCAACTTTAGTCAAGTTTAGCGTGATGATTTTTGGGAGGATAAAAGCGAAAGACATCAGCGCTTTCATACCAGGCACTGACAGTTGGTTCACATGAATAAATAGGTGAAAATGGAAGAAACACAGTGTAATACTACTGAAAAGCTACTGGTGCATTTCCAAAATCAGACTGTTGTTTGTCGACAAAATAGGCGAACGCACTAGTAGCCCGATGCCAGCACAACTTTGTGATCGTTAATCAACATATTCCATGTCAAATGACTGTCTCTTCTGACACTGTTCATTTCTTCGAAAGAACGGTTATCCCATAGCAACGTTGCTATGGATAACCAATTATCGCTATGTGTGTTTAGTGGAGAAACAAGAGCACAGCCTATGGGGAGCACGTATTGTTTTTGTATGGCAGGTCAGTGTCGTGGATACCATTTCTCATACTGTGCAGTCATGAACCGCAAAACCAGTGCATACAGGAAACAATTTTGTAGGCAAGACAGGCAGCAGGGCTAAAGAAAGGCGTGGTTTTTGTTTACATCGAGCTGAATCACATCGTATTTCTTCAAATCAGAGTGGTTTTGACAACTCATGAGCCGGCATTCTAGTACAGAGTGCGTCAGTGAGTTTCCCTGAGTACTTGGAAAGATAGTTGTACAGACAGGGTGTTGCTGATGGGGTAATCGCAAGCCACGAGTTAGCAGAGTGAGAAAACAGTGTTTATCATTTGGCACAATGAAACGAACGAATCGGAGTTAGACTGAATAGGCGACAGTGACGTGTTCCGGGTGAAGACCACAACCATAACTTTACGCTTGTTACATTTGTAAATTGTTCCGGCAGTCATGTCGTAATTACTGTGTCCGAAACAATGAACAACGGAAAGGTTTTTATTCATAGCAGGTACCGTTTCTATGCGAGATCGCCATTTTACTGTGAATAGAAAAAAGGTATCTAGGGAGTTACAGTTTAGGTAACTACTTATCTACCAGCCAACCTAGTAAGTAGCTATGGTAGTACATGTGTGTCCACACACACCGGTTGATGGCAAATTTTCCAGTTGGATTAAAAATATATTTAGCATGTTCACCCCTAGGAATAAATTTTGTGATGGCTGTAAGACGGCCCAAAATATTCTAGTGCTAATGTCCTTCTATGTAACAAAGTAGTATGATATTACATGCAACTTTTTAACCGGTGTGATGGTCAATGGATACTCATGGATATCATGTAACATGTATACCATATAGCATTAGACCAGACCGCATTCACTAAAACACATGACCATTGGAACCTTGCAACTCCGCTGAAAGAAAATACGACGTCGAGATAGTAAACTGAGTCAAACCCGTCGTAATCGTGAGGTAAATCAAAGTAAACAAGCAACATGAGGGTATGATGCAAATTACACTTGAAATTTAGGTATTCAGTTGAATAACTACCAGTGATTGACTGATAGCTAATGATTCGTATATGCTCCATATAACCACAGTCCGATTTAGACTGTGTAATCCCCATACTATTTAGTAACAGATGACACCAATCGGTGGTGGGCTGGGATCAGGCAAATGTAAGAGTACTGCTGCCATCAACTAGGTGGCCATTTACCTTCAGATCATCGAGTATCTGGTTACCGCTGTCTTAGTGAGAACCGATTTGCGCAGATGCGTGACACACAATAGATAACTTTGTGGGTGTACTTCATCCAAGCTGGTCCGCAAACAACTGTGGTCCAGTATTGGAGGCCAAATCTGAAATTCGAAACCACTAACTTTTGCACTGACTTAAGATTACACTCTTCCAAACAATTTCGGTGGTGTTTTTGGGTTTATTTGTTGATAGCGCATTGGTAAATGATAAAGCACAAAGTGGAATATAATATAAATAAAGCAAATAGTTCGTATTCTAGTTAGTATAGCATGACCGAATGCAGGGGATTATCATGTCTACGAATTGTTTACACTTTTCGCTGTTGAGTCTATGCAGTAAAAATGGATGGATAAGGTGGAAATAGAACGAGTGATAGATTGCAAACAACGTTAAAACGAGTGGATTTAGTCGGAGCTATTAGATCAATCGCAAAATGATAACAGTTGGGGTCATTATTCTGCAGGTGTCCGTTCAAAACTGAATGGACTGGCAATTTATGTGTTTAGTTTGGCAGCATCAATTATTGCTTATCTGTCTTCTTTAAGTTTAAATACAAGAACTCTCATTTATTAAGATCAAATGGAAGTGATCTTTATGGAGAATAATAACCAAGAGTTAGCACGAAATAGACGTCAGAAGAAAATAATCTTGATTAAAGAAAAGTTGACTGTTTAGGAACATTAGGCAGAACACAATTTTAATCATTTTCCATATTAAACAAATCACTAGCTATATAGTCAACTGTTTTTCCGTGCTCCAAGAGAAACCCAGTCGATTCTAATGCCAAGAACGACCTATAAATCTGGAAGACTGATGTGTTGTAACGCATCTGCATCAGAACAATGTTATCCTCTGTGTAGGTCGGTGGCCGAATGGTCTGCACACCTGGCTTGCAATCATAAGGTCGCCGGTTCGGCCCCGCCTAGCAGCAGGCGTCCTCGCGGTATACTCAGACCACGTGCGACTGTGGTGGTCGCGCGGCAGCGAAGCGCCGTTACGGCGTACAGCTGACATTCTCTGCAAATCCTCCATGGCTAAATGTGACCAGCACCTTTAAAACCTTAATTGTTTGCGGTTCATCGATCATTTTATCAATGCATTCTATGACACACACTTTATCAACATCTACCCAGGGTGTCTAAGACCAAAGACTTGTATTTTAATCCCAATGAGGAAGATTACCACAAGCTACGAGATGCAGTTTATCGGTGATTTGTGACCCCGCATACTTAGAAATACAACACTTACCTGGTGTATTTCTTGCAAACCAGCTTCATCCGCAGTTCCCAAAATGGCATGATCGTATAACAGTCGTTCGGTGCACAGGGCAATGGTATCATTTAAGACCGCGTAGTACAAGGGAGTGAGATGGTATTGATCCCTGGTGTTAGGAGATTGTCCCAAATCCAAAAACACCTAAACACGGGGTACAAACAAACTGCTAGGTTATGTAAAGTTTTGACATCGACATCAATATACCACATGATGTACGACGAATAACTGCATGTTTTGCGATTGTCAGTTATACATATTTTCATTTAAAAAGCGAGTTACTCATGAAGTATCAAGACAAATTATTAATAGAATAATCAAAATTTCTCAGTTTAAAAACTGAGTTGGTGAGGGCCGGATTGATATAATTTAACTTGTACACTGTGGAGAATTTTCATTAGATAAACAAAAACAATAAATGTCAAAGTCTAGCGTCAAACCCTTGGAGAAAGTGAAAATATTCCAATCCGTGGCAAAGCTACATAAATCCTAGTTGTGGATGGCTGGAATCGAAATACCACTTAACCATTGGTGCTAACTTTAAAACAGATGGTCTAATTAAAGTGGAAACTTGTTCACTTGCATGTCAGAGATGGAACGACAGAGCAATACACAAAATCACTAGTTGACAGCCCTTCAGCGGCCTAGAATGGCTCCGGTGTGTCCTAGAACTGTACTAACCCATTTATCTACTCTCCGCAGGCGTTCACCTTCAGGCTGACAAGAGGATTTACCGTTAATAGAGGCCAGCGCTACATAATGCACGCCTGTTCGCGACATGCTGCAAACATGAGGATTAAACCGCAAATCGGATGAACTAGTTCAAAGAACCTAGGAGGTTGACAGTGATGCGAGCGTGTCTCTGGCGCTGCTATGTTCTCTTTATTCCACTGATACGCGACGCGAGTGCCCAAACAGTGGGTGGGCAAATCCAAATTCTTGAAGCCATCTTTCTAGTCCACCTACATACCCAAAACTTCCCAAAATTATTCTTGTTTACCAACCAGAATTTCGAAGGTCGACGATGCTTTCTTAAGTGACCATTCACATTAGATTACTATTGGTATCACTAAGCTGGATGGACGTCGGAGACGAGACACTCAACTGAAGCCGCTCTGCATCATGGTTTTTCGAACACCTAAACAGTAGGAAAACGTAGAAAAGTCCTGTACAAACAAGTCTCCCTCATTTATCCTCACAATGCTACGACGTACCCATTCAGCGCTCCATTCTCTCTATTATTTTAGCACTATTAACGCCTGTGTCCCTCCATCTCCGCATTTCCATCGCTGAAATCGATCGTCAAGCTGTTACGAACGTTTAATCGTCTAGCTTGCTATGCAACCGCCTAGCTTATTTCGTAATTGAGTCTTCATAATACCGATGAAGGCATGATATTAAAATATACTAAACAAAAGCAACATGAGAATAGGTGATAAACTGCGCCCGAACATACAATAGTAATAGTAACAAATAAGTTTCTTATGATCTCAGAAGCTGCCTACAGCGGAACAGACCCAAATGCACAAGAGTAACCATGCTCTTGCATGAGTGATACGAGTAAGTGTAATACTATGGAATGAGATCCATTTAACAGCGAGTTAATGCATGGAAATGTTGTTTAGCCGTTTTTGGCGATCCTTGGAATAGTTCATCGAGTGCATTTTTCTGCTGCAACATAGTCGCTGTCATATTTAAAGCAAAGTAATGCGAATTTGTTGCTTAATGTGGTCACATGTTTAGATGGTTGAAGTTTAATTGGTAGTTTATTCCACAGAAATGTAAATCTTTGGCATAAGCAGTGTAAAATGTTCGTTGGGAATCTCACGAATTGTGTTTTGTCACAGTTCGAGCGTAGGCAAATCGGAGTGCCTCTTTCTGTGTGCCTAGTTGATATAGCCTTGTGACTCTCGATTTTACAGTGACTACCGAATAGTATCCACATATGTCGTCAGTTCGCACACCGTACTGTAATTTCCTCCATGACGTTCAACGAGATTATGATCCATTTCGCCACGGACACCCACAAATGAATTCATCACAACGCAATGTCTTTTTCTTGTGGTAATCCAATGTTTGGACTCAGGGCGGAATTTCAACGGAGTCGTTCAGACAATTCTATACAAGTCGGAAATTCCGGCTGCCATTTACACATGGGAATTACAAGTATAAACCAAACCATTTATGCTATGGTATATATATATATATGTGGATATATATATATATGTGGATATATATATATATACATATATATATATATATGGTAGTCGTCCCTCACCTGATTTGACACTTGGCAATGATCGGAACTGGTGGCCACTGGATCCCATTAGAAAAAGACCGGTTTTGCACTAGCGGTGAAAAAGCGAAATGTATTGGCTGCTCACACCGTTCAATATAAATGTCAACTGCATCATTCGTGATCTGTATATGAAGCCCACGTGGAAACATCTAGAATGGTCAACTTACTACCAATCAAGCATTTCCGGCTCTCGTGCTGATTTGCCAGTTCGCTTACTTGGCTGCGTGTTCGTCCAATCTATGCGCATGGGTGACCGCTCCCTTCCTTTATTTGGCTCCGTATCGGCGACCGTCGCCTCGACTCCTTGCTTAGTGATTTCTAACGCCATCCATTTCACTCGTGCTTTTATTTTGGTCATCCATCTAAAACGCACCCCACCCGTCGAACATATTGTCTGTCCTTTCTTGCCAGCCACCGTACAACCTTTAATAGTTTTAGTAAATCAATTCGCCTGATGAATGGCTTTGATCGCTCGTCTATATTTAGCATCTACACCTACCAGTTCCACGAGGCTGTTCCATGAGGCTGTTGGAAGTTTTCGGTGCAATACGGATCAATATTATTTTTTCCTATCTCACACTATAGACACCCGGTGTTGCACCACCCTTTGATTTTACTTCTTGTTTGTCATCGATCTACGCATGCTGTATGACGTGTCATGCGCTACTATGTTTATCAGCTTTTTCTGGTTTATGTACTGATTAGACTTAATCTTTGAGCAACTCACGCATGGCATTGTCCCAGTTTTCAAAGCAACTACTAGCTCCGGATTCGATGGCTTTATTTTTAAAGCATTATGCGCGTACAAAACTCTACTGGAATGTTTTTTGTTATTACGAACTTCTAACACTGCATACAATGACCACTTCCAACTTGGTTTGCGGCCTCCGGGTAGAGATAGCTAGAGTTCTGAAACTCTGGCTACAGTGGCTAGTGGCCGGCACTGTTCCAGCAATCTTCGCAACGCTACTTCTTGGAGAGTCCGCCCTTTCTTTGGATTACTATAGACAGTCTCAATGTGGACAGCGGTTTGTGTTGTAGTAGCCCTCGGTCATTCCTACCACTGGAGTCATGTCCTCATGATTCTACTCGCTAGATGTGCGTGAGGAACACCTCAGTCGCCACTAAGATGGGGGTAAAAACGAATAAAAAAAGAAAAACAAAGACAAAACAAAGTGGCATTCTCTTGTTTGTTATCATGAATGCACAGCGAGATTGTGGTTAGAGAGACTAAATAGGATGATGCAAGATGACGAAACTCATCACAAACATCATTGAGGCCGAGTGTATCTAACAAACATCTCTATCTTTTGGACCCCGACCCTTCAGTTGGGATGCGCCACCTGAGGTCATTTTCGAAGTGCGGTTCTTCATTCCTCTTGATCAAGTCGTCGGTTGGTCTCCTGTCTTCTTTTGTGACGACCCCGGTTGCACAAACAACGCACACCGTATGAATTAGCGTGTTAGCATGCATAGCACGTGACCCAGCCATCAAAGCTTGCTGCGTAAAACAGCGACACTAGGCAGTTCGCTTTTCTTCATGTACGGTCGCTCACATGGTGTTCCCATCCATATATATATATATATATATATATATATATATATATATATATATATATATATATATCCTACTACGGTCGCAAAACATATGATAATTGTTCCAGAACCTCAAAGGCTGCGTGTGACGGCCGTCAAGCAGATCCCAATCTGTCTCTGCAATCACATTCCCGAGCTGGATCTGCTCCCCACTGCCTTGTAGGTCAGGCTGTTGAGCCAAAGGCTCCGGGTGGAGTCCCTCAAGCAAATCTCCAAACCACCCACTGCCTTGTGGGTCAGGCTATTGAGCCAAAGGCTCCGGGTGGAGTCCCTCAAGCAAACCTCCAAACCACCCCCTGCCTTGTGGGTCAGGCTATTGAGCCAAAGGCTCCGGGCGGAGTCCCTCAAGCAAACCTCCAAACCACCCCCTGCCTTGTGGGTCAGGCTATTGAGCCAAAGGCTCCGGGTGGAGTCCCTCAAGCAAACCTCCGAAGCACAACGACCACCTCGCGTGCGATTGCCCACCAATGCAATCGTATGCCTGCGCGCAAAGCACTCAGCATCGGGTGCTGGAACGTGCGCACACTACTGGACCGGAACTCGAGCGAGCGCCCGGAGCGAGGCACTGCACTGGTCGCGATGGAGCTGGCGCGCTACCACATCGATATTGCGGCGCTCAGTGAAACTCGGCTCGCTGAGCAAGGTACGTTACATGAAGCAGGTGCTGGCTACACATTCTACTGGGTGGGCAACGCCGCCTCAGCACCAAGTGAACATGGGGTCCGATTTGCAATATCCGATCGCCTGAATGGCCAGCTGGTGGGTGAACCAACGGGCATCAGCGCGCGACTGATGACTGCTCGCCTACGACTCGGAAGAGGTAAGTTTGCTACTTTTATAAGCACGTACGGTCCGATAATGTGTTATCCTGATGACACGCGTGATCAGTTCTACACTGAGCTATCCTCCGTGATACGGTCTGTGCCGAGGAGCGACCGACTATTTCTGCTGGGTGATTTCAACGCGCGCGTTGGGCGTGATGCATCAGCGTGGACAGATGTTATCGGTGCGCATGGCATTGGTTCAGCGAATGCGAACGGTGACAGGCTGCTCTTACTGTGTGCCACTCACGGCCTGACGATCACGAACACTCGGTTTGCACTGAGTGCGAGTGATATAGCAACTTGGACGCACCCACGGAGTGGTCACGCTCACCTGCTCGACTATGTCATCGTACGTCAGCGTGATATGCGTGAAGTGCGCATGACACGTGTACTGCGTGGAGCTGAGTGTGGCACTGATCACAAAT